GGAGCAGGTCCGGAGTGTTCCACTTGGCTTGCCGGAGGGTCTGTAGGGCAGCAGAAGAAACACAGACGTCCCACCTCTTCTCAAAAAGCAGCCGGCTTCGTTGGAGGTTTTTAATAAATAGTTCATCAACACAATGCTCCATTTTTGAGTCACATTCAAGAATATCTGCTAGCTTTCTGAGGCTATGGCCGAGTTTGAGGGCCAAGGATGGAGTCTTGTATTGATTTGTTTCCTCATCATATCCAGCCACAGACCTGACTGCATCAATCACATGGTTAAAGTTGGAAGGAATAAAGAAATCCTTAATTGTTTTCAGTTTCCCTGCGGTTTTTGCTTCGTTAATTAACCTACCGACTTCTCTCATTTTCTGCCTAATGTAATCATGCTTAGTCTTATCATGCCCGTGTTTTAAGTACAGGTGCTCTCCGAGTCTCAGAATCCCCTTTTCTGCTTTGACAACACCCGTGACCTCATTCTGATGCATTGCCCAAATTAAAGACCACAGCTTTTTGCTGATGCCCTCCGGTACAGGCTGGGCTAGGGAGCAGAGGGACTGGACCCTACTTCTACCTGGTTTAGCCTGGGCATCTTTCTGTGAAAGCCGGCACCTGGCCACATGCCTCCACAGCGACTTTCGCTTAAGCAATGCCCCACAGTCTATACAGTGCAAAAACTCACTGGATTTAACTGGGGAATTTGGCTGTTTAGCTGGGACTAAAGTTCCAATGCCGGCCTTTAAAACCTCAAAATTGTGCTCACGGTTTCCACTATTCCTGATCAAATCAAACTGAAGTTTACGTGCTTTAGATTTCACAGGTAGAGCCAATGCTCTGGCTACGTCACTTTCATTTCCATGTTTTCTAGTCAAATGACGGGACATTTTGTGGCAGGACATTGAACAGTAGAGGCAGAAGTGTCTCTTGCTGTAAACTCGCCCCCCATTTTTCTTCTTTTGCAGCTGCATGATAACAATCTTATTTGCCTTTGGTTCGTCACTTTCCGAGTCTTGAAGAAAAGTGTTTTTGATTTTTCTTTTTCCATACTTTTTTACAGGTTTCTTCTTGACAGTTAAATCGTCAGAATCTGAGTCGACTTCATCAATTAGGGACTCTTGACTAAGCTGCACAAACAACAAATAATTTGTAATCATTCTATATAACAATTTGAAGTCATGACTTGTAGTCAGCACTTACCAGTGGTTTGTAAGCGTGCGCTTCAGTGTGCTCCTCCATGATTTCTTGCAGCCTAATGAACCACACACTTGCACCTTTTTCTAGCCTGACACCTGATTTCCTCTGTTGTGCTGCTCCATGATTGGCTCCAGCCTCTGTTGTGCTGCTCCATGATTGGCTCCAGCCTGCTGGACTGAAATTGCCCCAGTGTGCCCCTCCTTGATATCCCGCAACCCACCACCAGGGTTCCGACACATAACACACTTTTTTCAGGAAAGTAAACCTCCAGGGGTCCTTTCCATATTTTTACAGAGACTGCATAAGGACCGTTAGAAAAGCATTACCCATTGATTATTAAGCTTGGACCAGTGGGGTCCGGTGTTCGGGCCCCACCACGTAAAACCAGTCCCCATGACGTGAGTGGAATCTCAGGTTATGGAACCCACCAGGAGTTGAAAACAAGTGCACAGTATTTATATCCTCTGTGGGACATCCCACCTGCTGGCTTCTGTCCTGTCTGTGGGACAGTGTAACCAGTGGCGCCCCCTGCAGGACAATGAAGCAGCTGCAGTGACAGACTGATCCACCCTCACTGTGAAGGAGAGAGTCCCAGGTCTGTGTGTGTAGAGTGTGTGTGTGTGTGTGTGTGTGTGTGTGTGTGTAGAGTGTGTGCGTGTGTGTGTGTGTGTGTAGAGTGTGTGTGTGTAGAGTGTGTGTGTGTAGAGTGTGTGTGTGTGTGTGTGTGTGTGTGTGTGTAGAGTGTGTGCGTGTGTGTGTGTGTGTGTAGAGTGTGTGTGTGTGTGTGTGTGTGTGTAGAGTGTGTGTGTGTAGAATGTGTAGAGTGTGTGTGTGTAGAGTGTGTGTAGAGTGTGTGTGTGTAGAGTGTGTGTGTGTAGAGTGTGTGTGTGTGTGTGTGTGTGTGTGTGTAGAGTGTGTGTGTGTAGAATGTGTAGAGTGTGTGCGTGTAGAGTGTGTGCGTGTGTGTGTGTGTGTGTGTGTAGAGTGTGTGTGTGTAGAGTGTGTGTGTGTAGAGTGTGTAGAGTGTGTGCGTGTAGAGTGTGTGCGTGTGTGTGTGTGTGTGTGTAGAGTGTGTGTGTGTAGAGTGTGTAGAGTGTGTGCGTGTAGAGTGTGTGTGTGTAGAGTGTGTGTGTGTAGAGTGTGTGTGTGTGTGTGTGCAGAGTGTGTGTAGTGTGTGTGTGTAGAGTGTGTAGAGTGTGTGTGTGTGGGCAGAGTGTGTGTAGAGTGTGTGTGTAGTGTGTGTGTAGAGTGTGTGTGTGTGGGCAGAGTGTGTGTAGTGTGTGTGTGTAGAGTGTGTGTGTAGTGTGTGTGTGTAGAGTGTGTGTGTCTCACATTCATCAGTCTATAAATATATAAATATGTGCAATGTGACAATCCACCCCCAGAGGAAGAAGTGCTCACTGAAATAGATCTGAGTCTAAATAATTGTCTCTGTAAATACAAATGTGTGTGTGAGTGTGTGTGTGTCTGTGTGTGTGTCTGTAGTGTGTGTGTGTGTGTGTGTGTAGTGTGTGTGTGTGTAGTGTGTGTGTGTGAGTCTGTGTGTCTGTGTGTGTGTGTGTGTGTGTGTGCGTGTGTGTGTAGTGTGTGTGTGTGTGTAGTGTGTGTGTGTGTGTTGAGTCTGTGTGTGTGTGTGTGTCTGTGTGTGTGTGTGTGTGTGTGTGTGTGTGTGTGTGTGTGTGTGTGTGTGTGAGTCTGTGTGTCTGTGTGTGTGTGTGTGTGTGTGCGTGTGTGTGTAGTGTGTGTGTGTGTGTAGTGTGTGTGTGTGAGTCTGTGTGTGTGTGTGTGTGTGTGCGTGTGTGTGTGTGTGTGTCTGTAGTGTGTGTGTAGATGTGTCTGTGTGTGTGTAGTGTGTGTGTGTCTGCGTGTGTGTCTGTAGTGTGTGTGTAGATGTGTGTCTGTGTGTGTGTAGTGTGTGTGTGTGAGTCTGTGTGTCTGTGTGTGTGTGTAGTGTGTGTGTGTGTAGTGTGTGTGTGTGTCTGTAGTGTGTGTGTAGATGTGTCTGTGTGTGTGTAGTGTGTGTGTGTCTGCGTGTGTGTCTGTAGTGTGTGTGTCTGTGTGTGTGTAGTGTGTGTGTGTGTGTGAGTCTGTGTGTCTGTGTGTGTGTGTAGTGTGTGTGTGTGTGTAGTGTGTGTGTGTGAGTCTGTGTGTCTGTGTGTGTGTGTGTGTGTGCGTGTGTGTGTGTGTGTGTCTGCGTGTGTGTCTGTAGTGTGTGTGTAGATGTGTCTGTGTGTGTGTAGTGTGTGTGTGTCTGCGTGTGTGTCTGTAGTGTGTGTGTAGATGTGTGTGTGTGTGTGTGTGTAGTGTGTGTAGTGTGTGTCTGTAGTGTGTGTGTAGTGTGTGTGTGTCTGTAGTGTGTGTGTAGAGTGTGTGTGTGTGTGTCTGTAGTGTGTGTGTAGATGTGTGTGTGTGTAGTGTGTGTGTAGTGTGTGTAGTGTGTGTGTGTCTGTGTGTGTGTGTGTGTGCGTGTGTGTGTGTGTGTGTCTGCGTGTGTGTCTGTAGTGTGTGTGTAGATGTGTCTGTGTGTGTGTAGTGTGTGTGTGTCTGCGTGTGTGTCTGTAGTGTGTGTGTAGATGTGTGTGTGTGTGTGTGTGTAGTGTGTGTCTGTAGTGTGTGTGTAGTGTGTGTGTGTCTGTAGTGTGTGTGTAGAGTGTGTGTGTGTGTGTCTGTAGTGTGTGTGTAGATGTGTGTGTGTGTAGTGTGTGTGTAGTGTGTGTAGTGTGTGTGTGTAGTGTGTGTCTGTAGTGTGTCTGTAGTGTGTGTGTGTGTGTGTGTAGTGTGTGTAGTGTGTGTGTGTAGTGTGTGTACATTACAGTAGTTACATTACTTTGATCACATCCTCCTCTGGTCTTATGCGTACTCTCCGCTGAGTCATCATGTCCTGCATGTAGCGTCTGGGTCTGGTCTCTGTGTTAGCCAATACAATCGGTCGTATCTGGACCGGCCAATCAGAGAGCGCGGGAGGCGGGTGTTGTAGTTAATTGTGGGTGATGTGAGTTTGCGCTGAACGGGCAGGTCGTAGTTTGGTGAAGAATGCGATAGTAAAGTATTCTGGTCTGGTTCTATCAAGAAACTGAAGCCGGAGCAAGAGGAATGTTTAGTAAATGTAATCACTGCAAAGATTGTGGCGCTACTCCCCACGGGCTCCGTTAGCGGCAAAGGAGATGTAGCACAAGCTAGGCTAAATGCTAAATGCTAACGACACACTCGGGCTCATTACATACGTCACAGTAAACTCAGATCCAATGGTTTCAGTCTGCAAAAGGAGTTAGCCCCTCCCACCTGTTCACGGAGTCAATGGAGCAGATCCAGACCTTAGTATGAAGTGTAGTTTGTACTGTGGTATGGTACGACCAGGGTAATCCTCCTCCAGAACAGGACTGTTCCTGTGTGAGGACATGGATGGAGACCAGAGTGAGACCAGAGTGAGACCAGAGTGAGACCAGAGTGAGACCAGAGTGAGACCAGAGTGAGACCAGAGTGAGACCAGAGTGAGACCAGAGTGAGACTAGAGAGAGACCAGAGAGAGAGACCAGAGTGAGACCCCTCCCTGCAGAGTGGGGGGTTTCCACTGCCCTCTGCCTCAAATGTCAGGGCTCATCTTTCAGATCTAACTTTAGCCTCTCAGGGGCCACTCCTCGGGCCCCAAATCAGGACTGAAGCCGACAGGGTCTTTTTTAGCCTCTGTGAGCAGCCGGACACTCCCTCCTGAACACGCTGCCTCTGCTCGCCCTGGTCAGCCTCTGCTCGCCGTGGTCAGCCTCTGCTCGTTCTGGTCAGCCGCTTCCTCTCACTAAAAACACTTTTCGGTCATTTCTCTGGAAACGTATCGATTTTGAGGATTCTCTGCTGCTCCAAGTAAGAGACACTTCCTCTGCGACGGTCCAGGGTCTGAGGGTCCAGGGTCTGAGGGTCCAGGGTCTGAGGGTCCAGGGTCTGAGGGTCGAGGGTCTGAGGGTCCAGGGTCTGAGGGTCCAGGGTCTGAGGGGGTCTGAGAATCCAGCTGAGGGTCCAGGGTCTGAGGGTCCAGGGTCTGAGGGGGTCTGAGAATCCAGCTGAGGGTCCAGGGTCTGAGGGTCCAGGGTCTGAGGGGGTCTGAGGTCTGAGGGTCCAGCGTCTGAGGGTCCAGGGTCTGAGGGTCCAGGGTCTGAGGGTCCAGGGTCTGAGGGTCGAGGGTCTGAGGGTCCAGGGTCTGAGGGTCCAGGGTCTGAGGGGGTCTGAGAATCCAGCTGAGGGTCCAGGGTCTGAGGGTCCAGGGTCTGAGGGGGTCTGAGAATCCAGCTGAGGGTCCAGGGTCTGAGGGTCCAGGGTCTGAGGGGGTCTGAGGTCTGAGGGTCCAGCGTCTGAGGGTCCAGCGTCTGAGGGTCCAGGGTCTGAGGGTCCCCCCGCCCCTTCTGTCCAAACGCTCTGATTTCAAAGAGTTTTAAACAAATGCATCATGGGAATCCTTTCAATGCCGTCAGGGACACAGGATGTTTCAGAGATCAGAGCTATATTGGTTAGCAGTGCTTCTAAATGAGCTTGTCAGTGATCAGAGCCATGTTGGTTAGCAGTGCTTCTAAATGAGCTTGTCAGTGATCAGAGCCATGTTGGTTAGCAGTGCTTCTACAGTAAATGAGCTTGTCAGTGATCAGAGCCATGTTGGTTAGCAGTGCTTCTAAATGAGATTGTCAGTGATCAGAGGCATGTTGGTTAGCAGTGCTTCTAAATGAGCTTGTCAGTGATCAGAGCCATGTTGGTTAGCAGTGCTTCTAAATGAGATTGTCAGTGATCAGAGCCATGTTGGTTAGCAGTGCTTCTAAATTGAATAAGTCATTTTATTAATTCTAATATTACAGTAAGTCCCGCCTTCCCTTCTCTTAGCTATAGCTCAGAATCCACGATGCCGTCCACGTTAACCAATCAGGTGATGCCAAGGGCTGTCAATCATCAGCGCTGATTCTGAACCTATATCCATAATCATTTATATATGAACCTATATCCATAATCATTTATATACTGAACCTATATCCATAATCATTTATATATGAACCTATATCCATAATCATTTATATATGAACCTATATCCATAATCATTTATATATGAACCTATATCCATAATCATTTATATATGAACCTATATCCATAATCATTTATATATGAACCTATATCCATAATCATTTATATACTGAACCTATATCCATAATCATTTATATATGAACCTATATCCATAATAATTTATATACTGAACCTATATCCATAATCATTTATATATGAACCTATATCCATAATCATTTATATATGAACCTATATCCATAATCATTTATATATATGAACCTATATCCATAATCATTTATATATGAACCTATATCCATAATCATTTATATATGAACCTATATCCATAATCATTTATATACTGAACCTATATCCATAATCATTTATATATGAACCTATATCCATAATCATTTATATATGAACCTATATCCATAATCATTTATATACTGAACCTATATCTATAATCATTTATATATGAACCTATATCTATAATCATTTATATATGAACCTATATCTATAATCATTTATATATGAACCTATATCCATAATCATTTATATATGAACCTATATCCATAATCATTTATATATGAACCTATATCCATAATCATTTATATATGAACCTATATCCATAATCATTTATATATGAACCTATATCCATAATCATTTATATACTGAACCTATATCCATAATCATTTATATATGAACCTATATCCATAATCATTTATATATGAACCTATATCCATAATCATTTATATACTGAACCTATATCTATAATCATTTATATATGAACCTATATCTATAATCATTTATATATGAACCTATATCTATAATCATTTATATATGAACCTATATCCATAATCATTTATATATGAACCTATATCCATAATCATTTATATATGAACCTATATCCATAATCATTTATATATGAACCTATATCCATAATCATTTATATATGAACCTATATCCATAATCATTTATATATGAACCTATATCCATAATCATTTATATACTGAACCTATATCCATAATCATTTATATACTGAACCTATATCTATAATCATTTATATATGAACCTATATCCATAATCATTTATATATGAACCTATATCCATAATCATTTATATATGAACCTATATCCATAATCATTTATATATGAACCTATATCCATAATCATTTATATATGAACCTATATCCATAATCATTTATATATGAACCTATATCCATAATCATTTATATATGAACCTATATCCATAATCATTTATATATGAACCTATATCCATAATCATTTATATATGAACCTATATCCATAATCATTTATATATGAACCTATATCCATAATCATTTATATACTGAACCTATATCCATAATCATTTATATATGAACCTATATCCATAATCATTTATATATGAACCTATATCCATAATCATTTATATATGAACCTATATCCATAATCATTTATATATGAACCTATATCCATAATCATTTATATATGAACCTATATCCATAATCATTTATATATGAACATATATCCATAATCATTTATATATGAACCTATATCCATAATCATTTATATATGAACCTATATCCATAATCATTTATATACTGAACCTATATCCATAATCATTTATATACTGAACCTATATCCATAATCATTTATATACTGAACCTATATCCATAATCATTTATATATGAACCTATATCCATAATAATTTATATACTGAACCTATATCCATAATCATTTATATATGAACCTATATCCATAATCATTTATATATGAACCTATATCCATAATCATTTATATATGAACCTATATCCATAATCATTTATATATGAACCTATATCCATAATCATTTATATACTGAACCTATATCCATAATCATTTATATATGAACCTATATCCATAATCATTTATATATGAACCTATATCCATAATCATTTATATACTGAACCTATATCCATAATCATTTATATATGAACCTATATCTATAATCATTTATATATGAACCTATATCCATAATCATTTATATATGAACCTATATCCATAATCATTTATATATGAACCTATATCCATAATCAATTTATATATGAACCTATATCCATAATCATTTATATATGAACCTATATCCATAATCATTTATATATGAACCTATATCCATAATCATTTATATACTGAACCTATATCCATAATCATTTATATATGAACCTATATCCATAATCATTTATATATGAACCTATATCCATAATCATTTATATATGAACCTATATCCATAATCATTTATATATGAACCTATATCCATAATCATTTATATACTGAACCTATATCCATAATCATTTATATATGAACCTATATCCATAATCATTTATATACTGAACCTATATCCATAATCATTTATATATGAACCTATATCCATAATCATTTATATACTGAACCTATATCCATAATCATTTATATATGAACCTATATCCATAATATTTATATACTGAACCTATATCCATAATCATTTATATATGAACCTATATCCATAATCATTTATATATGAACCTATATCCATAATCATTTATATACTGAACCTATATCCATAATCATTTATATATGAACCTATATCCATAATATTTATATATGAACCTATATCCATAATCATTTATATATGAACCTATATCCATAATCATTTATATATGAACCTATATCCATAATCATTTATATACTGAACCTATATCCATAATCATTTATATATGAACCTATATCCATAATCATTTATATATGAACCTATATCCATAATCATTTATATATGAACCTATATCCATAATCATTTATATATGAACCTATATCCATAATCATTTATATATGAACCTATATCCATAATCATTTATATATGAACCTATATCCATAATCATTTATATATGAACCTATATCCATAATCATTTATATATGAACCTATATCTATAATCATTTATATATGAACCTATATCCATAATCATTTATATATGAACCTATATCCATAATCATTTATATATGAACCTATATCCATAATCATTTATATATGAACCTATATCCATAATCATTTATATATGAACATATATCCATAATCATTTATATATGAACCTATATCCATAATCATTTATATATGAACCTATAGCCATAATCATTTATATATGAACCTATATCCATAATCATTTATATATGAACCTATATCCATAATCATTTATATATGAACCTATATCCATAATCATTTATATATGAACCTATATCCATAATCATTTATATATGAACTATATCCATAATCATTTATATATGAACCTATATCCATAATCATTTATATATGAACCTATATCCATAATCATTTATATATGAACCTATATCCATAATCATTTATATATGAACCTATATCTATAATCATTTATATATGAACCTATATCCATAATCATTTATATATGAACCTATATCCATAATCATTTATATATGAACCTATATCCATAATCATTTATATATGAACCTATATCTATAATCATTTATATATGAACCTATATCCATAATCATTTATATATGAACCTATATCTATAATCATTTATATATGAACCATAGTCAGATCCTCTGCAGATGTTTCTATAATGTGATAACAGCACTTCCTAGTTTGCCGCGATCGCTTTTTCTGTGTGCAATAAAACATTATTTTTGTCATGCAAACGTGAACATATAATTCTGAAAACCTCGGTGCATGTGTGTTAATAATGTATATGTATAATGTGTTCTCTGATTAACTTTTAAATGTGTTACGGAAACGTAGGTGTAGACCAATCAGAAAGGAAGGGGGAGGAGCTTGCGTTGTTTTTTTTCAGATCATGTACCTCTCTCTCTCTCTGACAAACTGCAGACATCACTTTAATGAATGTGTGTGTGTGTGTGTGTGTGTGTGTGTGTGTGTGTGTGTGTGTGTGTGTGTGTGTGTGTGTGTGTGTGTGTGTGTTGTCTGTGTGTATCATTTCCTGTGTTGAGAGGATAACAAACATGATTAAGGCTGAGGAAGGAACTTCACAGGAAGGAAACAGAGTCTTGTGAAAGTTACCCTTAGGTATCTGACCTCTGACCCTCAGGTCATTGACTTCTGACCCTCAAGTCTTTGACTTCTGACCCTCAGGTGTCTGACCTCTGACCCTCAGGTCTCTGACTTCTGACCCTCAGGTCTCTGACTTCTGACCCTCAGGTGTCTGACCTCTGACCCTCAGGTCTTTGACTTCTGACCCTCAGGTCTTTGTCTTCTGACCCTCAGGTCTTTGACTTCTGACCCTCAGGTATCTGACCTCTGACCCTCAGGTCTCTGACTTCTGACCCTCAGGTGTCTGACTTCTGACCCTCAGGTCTTTGACTTCTGACCCTCAGGTCTCTGACTTCTGACCCTCAGGTGTCTGACTTCTGACCCTCAGGTCTTTGACTTCTGACCCTCAGGTCTTTGACTTCTGACCCTCAGGTGTCTGACTTCTGACCCTCAGGTCTCTGACTTCTGACCCTCAGGTGTCTGACAGCCGACCTCTGACCCTCAGGTCTCTGACCTAAGACCCTCTGGTGTCTGACCTCTGACCCTCTGGTGTCTGACCTCTGACCCTGTGGTGTCTGACCTCTGACCCTCCGGTGTCTGACCTCTGGCCCTCAGGTCTTTGACTTCTGACCCTCAGGTGTCTGACCTCTGACCCTCAAGTCTCTGACTTCTGACCCTCTGGTGTCTGACCTCTGACCCTCAGGTCTCTGACCTCTGACCTTCCGGTGTCTGACCTCTGACCTCTGGAGATGGACGTGCAGAAGAAGCTGGAGATTGTGGGGGTGGAGGACGAGGCGGGAAACCCCATCTCTGCTCTGACCATTCTGTCTCTGCTGGAGAGAGTGGCAGGGATCATCGACAACGTACAGGTAACACACACACACACAAAGACACACACAGCCACAAAGACACACACACAGACACACACACACACAGACACACAGACACACACACACTGACACACACACACACACACATTGACACACACACACAGACACACACACACACACAGAGACACACACACACACACAGAGACACACACACACACACACAGAGACACACACACACACATTGACACACACACACACACACACACAGTCACCCGCACACACACACACACACATTGACACACACACACACACACACACACAGAGACACACACACAGTGTGTTTGACTCCTTCCTCTCTGTGCAGTCCTGTCAGCAGCGTATGGAGGAGCGGCAGCAGGAGCTGGAGACCAGCATCAAGAACATCCAGGGAGACGTCCTGAAACTGTCCAAGGACCATGGGGACACCAGCAACACCGTGGACAAGCTGCTGCAGAAGACACGCAAAGTCAGCGCCAACGTGAAGGAGGTCCGCAGCCGAGTGGAGAAGCAGAACGTCCGCGTCAAGAAGGTGGAGACCACCCAGGACGAACTGCTTACCAGGAACAAGTTCAGGGTCGTCATCTACCAGGTGAGCACCAGGAACAAGTTCAGGGTCGTCATCTACCAGGTGAGCATCAGGAACAGGTTCAGGGTCGTCATCTACCAGGTGAGCATCAGGAACAGGTTCAGGGTCGTCATCTACCAGGTGAGCACCAGGAACAAGTTCAGGGTCGTCATCTACCAGGTGAGCACCAGGAACAAGTTCAGGGTCGTCATCTACCAGGTGAGCACCAGGACCAGATAATTCAGAACCAGATTTAACCTGTGACAAAGCTCTCAGCTCCAGGAGGCAGTGATTTTTGAGGAGATGAAGAGTTTGTGGTGATGAAGAGTTGTGTGGTGATGAAGAGTAGTGTGGTGATGAAGAGTTTGTTGGTGATGAAGAGTAGTGTGGTGATGAAGAGTTGTGTGGTGATGAAGAGTAGTGTGGTGATGAAGAGTTTGGTGGTGATGAAGAGTAGTGTGGTGATGAAGAGTTTGTTGGTGATGAAGAGTAGTGTGGTGATGAAGAGTTTGGTGGTGATGAAGAGTAGTGTGGTGATGAAGAGTTTGTGGTGATGAAGAGTAGTGTGGTGATGAAGAGTAGTGTGGTGATGAAGAGTTTGGTGGTGATGAAGAGTAGTGTGGTGATGAAGAGTTTGGTGGTGATGAAGAGTAGTGTGGTGATGAAGAGTTTGTGGTGATGAAGAGTTTGGTGGTGATGAAGAGTTTGGTGGTGATGAAGAGTAGTGTGGTGATGAAGAGTTTGGTGGTGATGAAGAGTAGTGTGGTGATGAAGAGTTTGTGGTGATGAAGAGTAGTGTGGTGATGAAGAGTTTGGTGGTGATGAAGAGTAGTGTGGTGATGAAGAGTTTGGTGGTGATGAAGAGTTGTGGTGATGAAGAGTTTGGTGGTGATGAAGATGTGTGTGATGAAGAGTTTGGTGGTGATGAAGAGTTTGGTGGTGATGAAGAGTTTGGTGGTGATGAAGAGTAGTGTGGTGATGAAGAGTTTGGTGGTGATGAAGAGTTTGTTGGTGATGAAGAGTTGTGTGGTGATGAAGAGTTTGGTGGTGATGAAGAGTTTGTTGGTGATGAAGAGTTTGGTGGTGATGAAGAGTTTGGTGGTGATGAAGAGTTGTGTGGTGATGAAGAGTAGTGTGGTGATGAAGAGTTTGGTGGTGATGAAGAGTAGTGTGGTGATGAAGAGTTTGGTGGTGATGAAGAGTTTTGGTGGTGATGAAGAGTTTGTGGTGATGAAGAGTTTGTTGGTGATGAAGAGTTTGTTGGTGATGAAGAGTAGTGTGGTGATGAAGAGTTTGGTGGTGATGAAGAGTTGTGTGGTGATGAAGAGTTTTGTGGGTGGGTGAAGAGTTTGTTGGTGATGAAGAGTTTGTTGGGTGATGAAGAGTTTGAGAGTTTGGTGATGATTGTGGTGATGAGAGTTTGTGGTGAGTGTGGTGATGAAGAGTAGTGTGGTGATGAAGAGTTGTGTGGTGATGAAGAGTTTGTTGGTGATGAAGAGTTTGTTGGTGATGAAGAGTTTGTTGGTGATGAAGAGTAGTGTGGTGATGAAGAGTTGTGTGGTGATGAAGAGTTTGGTGGTGATGAAGAGTTTGGTGGTGATGAAGAGTTTGGTGGTGATGAAGAGTTACAAAGGTTTGGTTCACTGCTGGTGTCTGTTGATGGTGAGGCCAGGATCATGAAGCCCTTTGCTCCCCTCCTCAGGGGGAGACCGAGGTCCCGTCGGTGGCTGTGACCAAAGGCCCCAAAGGTGGAGGTCTGGAGGCGGTGGAGGTGGAGCCGGACGCCTACGACGCTCCTGCAGACCTCTCCTCTGACGAAGACTACCTGAGCGTGGAGGAGGCGGACTCTTCCCGCGGCGCTCGCATCAAGAAGTCCATGGCTAAGAGCACGGAGACCCTGAAGGCGGCCTTCTCCAAAGAGAACATGTCCAAGACCAAGGACAGCCTGGGCACCAAGTTCCACAGCCTGGGGGAGAGGGTGATGCCTCCGGAGCGCAGGGAGAGGATGCACCAGGCTGGGGAGCGCCTCAAACAGTCCGGAGAGAGGCTCAAGGACAACATCGCCAAGAAGGCCCCGACCAAGGAGAGCTTCAGGATCAAGATGAAGAAGGAGAGAGCGGTCGCCGAGGGGCAGGAGGGAGCGGAGGCCGAGGCAGAAGCTCAACCTGCGGACGTCACCTACAGCGAGGTGACCAGCGAGGCCCGGAAGGACGAGGCCCGGAAGGACGAGGCCCGGCAGGACGAGGCCCGGAAGGACGAGGCCCGGACACCAGCCGAGTAAAGCAACGATGGAGGAGGATCTGAACTGAAACTAAAGCCTTTGAAGAGCGAGGAACGACCGCGACGAGCTGCATCGAGAGGAAGAGTTTGAAGGTTGAAGATTGATATTTTTACATTTACGTTTGATAAGTCACAGTTCCCTCAGGAAACACACACCTGCAGCTGTATTTAGCTCAATCCACTCTCAGGAACGTCCAGCACCAAGACGAGAGAGAACCTTCCACCAGCTTCTACGAACAACGGCCCCAACGGCCCCAACGGCCCCAACGGCCCCAACAACCCCAACGGCCCCAACGGTCCCAACGGCCCCAACAACCCCAACGGCCCCAACGGTCCCAACGGCCCCAACAACCCCAACGGCCCCAACGGTCCCAACACAAGTATGATCCTCTCATCCCTTTATCATCCATTTACTCATTTAACCGTGTGCAGACTTAGCTTCTCCAACATCCGTCAGATTTGAAAATAACTTTTTTATCCCATGGATCAAACCAGAACAAACAACGAACATCAGCAACGAGCGGGAACCGAGAAAGTAACGACGTCTGGGAGAAAACTCATTCAGCACAAGACGGACCAGAACCAGACCCAACGAGACTACCCCTGGGCCCTTTGAAGGCAGACATCTCAGACTTCAGCAGCTCCAACAGACCGCTCAGACTCCAGTCCCAGTCCCAGTCCCAGTCCCAGTCCCAGCCCCAGTCCCAGTCCCAGTCCCAGCCCCAGTCCCAGCCCCAGTCCCAGCCCCAGTCCCAGTCCCAGTCCCAGCCCCGGCCCCAGTCCCAGCCCCAGTCCCAGCCCCAGTCCCAGCCCCAGTCCCAGTCCCAGTCCCAGTCCCAGTCCCAGCCCCAGCCCCAGTCCCAGTCCCAGTCACAGTCCCAGTCCCAGTCCCAGTCCCAGTCCCAGCCCCGCCCCAGTCCCAGCCCAGTCCCAGTCCCAGTCCCCAGTCCCAGTCCCAGTCCCAGTCCCAGTCCCAGCCCCAGTCCCAGTCCCAGTCCCAGTCCCAGCCCCAGTCCCAGTCCCAGTCCCAGTCCCAGTCCCAGCCCCAGTCCCAGCCCCAGTCCCAGCCCCGGCCCCAGTCCCAGTCCCAGTCCCAGCCCCAGTCCCAGTCCCAGTCCCAGCCCCAGTCCCAGTCCCAGTCCCAGCCCCAGTCCCAGCCCCGGCCCCAGCCCAAGTCCCAGTCCCAGTCCCAGTCCCAGTCCCAGTCCCAGCTTCAGCCCCAGCCCCAGTCCCAGTCCCAGTCCCAGTCCCAGTCCCAGTCCCAGTCCCAGTCCCAGTCCCAGCCCCAGTAAAACAAAGAGAAGTCCACAGACGTGTCCTTCGGCCTCAGACACTGCGGTTCAAACCCATGGAAGCTGCTGTTTCAAACTCTTCTGAACAGATTCTTTCAGATCATATATTTCTCTGGCTGCTCCTGACTCAGAGCAAAAGGACTGTGGAAGACTCGCTTCAGCCAACGTCGTCTGAAATCGCCGTCTGCAGAACTCAAAGGGTCATGTTGTGGTGGAGCTGTTGGTTTGGTTTGCACTGAAATGACCACGAAGGAGAAGAAGAAACATGGAGGGCCTCTTTAATCCATCATATTTAGAACGTGTAAAAACACATATTCCATGTCAATATCAAAGGCCACTTTGGTCACGCTTTAAGTGTAAACCACAGACTTCAGCAGAGCAGTGTGTGGGTTTCTCAGCTGGTTTCTGAGAACTCACCAAAGGAACATTCACACCTGGGTTTAAAGCTTTTACAAACAGACCAGCGAGTGTTGGGAACCCTGTGCGTTCATGGTTCTGTGTCTCAGTCTGACACTGACGAAGAAGAAAATACTGTAGGTCCAGGTTTGGGAAAGAACAGCTTCGACAAACATCTGTGAATTTGCTTCTTGCTTCAGTATTTTGATAAAAGTAAAGTGTAGTGAGTGAGAAGTAGTCGTGCACCTTTGAGAAATGAGGATTCAACCTTGAAAGAAACGTTCTGTGATCAATGTAAAGTGTGTGAGTGACTCATAGTTATTTAAAGCTTGGACTTTTAGTTTAGTATATTTAGCTTGTGTTGAAGAAAGCTCGTCAGCAGATGCTCTGGGCTGATGGTCCAAGATGTGATTTAAGGCCAGCAAGTGTGCAATAATACTTATGAATATATATATATATACATGTTTTACTACACGGCTTATCCACAGATGATGATTCACGTGCACCTTTTCTAAATAAAATGATAAAGACAAATATTGTCTCGTCTGTTGTTTCCTTGAGCACTGTATTTTATAGTAGACTTATGTTAATGAATTAGTTAATTCTCAACATGTGTTGGGAAGTAAGTAAATGTACATTATCAAACATAAAAAAACAAAGAATACTTTTAGTTACTTGTATATTCAGGTGGAGTCAGTATTATTTAGTGTAAAATAGTTAGATAATAGTGGGGGGTAAGCCACAGCTGCCCTGACAGAGACTAACACAGTGAGTTTTCTGTGTCATCGGCAACTTCAAATATCACAACGTTGAGATTTAGTGATAGATTGTGCATGCGTACATTCATATATGTCTATGGGTACATGCATCTCCTCCTGCAGTGAGCCCGTATATCCAGCAGAGGGCAGTAAAGTCATTCAGTCACTGACGACATCCAAATTAAAGCTACTCGCCTCCTTATTCTTCCTTGCTCTTCTTATTTCTTGACCTTTTGTGAGATTAAATTAATATTAACGAGTTTGTGAAAAGCCGTAAATTTTACTTTGATAAATAGCTAATTATTAAGAGTAAGGATAAGGATACATAACAAATAAATAGGATGAATAAAGAAAGACGAGGAGAACATTTCCGAATTCAAATGCAGTCAGGTTTAACGTCGTTCTACGAACTTCCGCTTCACTGTTTGACGACATAACGAATACTTTGGTTATATTTTGAGCCCACAGTTCGGACAGAGTGAATTCCATTCTGTATTTACTCTATTTACTATCATGTGATATTCTCATTTTTATCGAGGAGCTAATAGATCCATGGAGCTAACCCCGTTAGCATTAGCGAGCCGTTGCCCCTGACAACCTGAGCCAAACAGCACGCGCGCCTGTTAGCTCTGCGGCTAACCAGCTACAGGCTAACCAGCTACAGGCTACCTCCGGGCTACAGAGTGCCTAAACCCCGCTCCAAAGGCCCGCAGGGGACTGTGAACTCCGGGGGGTCATGGCAGAAGACGCCAGGCGGACAGAGGAGGAGGACCGCGGCCCAGGAGCGGTTCATCAGGTGTTTGTGGTGATGGAGAGTCTGCTGGAGAAACTCAAACTGCTGCGGTACGAGGAGCTCCTGGAGAGGCACAACATGAAGCCCCTGTCCCGGTGAGAGAGGGTCTGTCCCGGGTCTGTCCCGGTGAGAGAGGGTCTGTCCCGGTGAGAGAGGGTCTGTCCCGGTGAGTGAGGGTCTGTCCCGGTGAGAGGGTCTGTCCCGGTGAGAGAGGGTCTGTCCCGGTGAGAGAGGGTCTGTCCCGGTGAGAGAGGGTCTGTCCCGGTGAGAGAGGGTCTGTCCCGGTGAGAGAGGGTCTGTCCCGGTGAGAGAGGGTCTGTCCCGGTGAGAGAGGGTCTGTCCCGGTGAGAGAGGGTCTGTCCCGGTGAGAGAGGGTCTGTCCCGGTGAGAGAGGGTCTGTCCCGGTGAGATTCCGGAGGGTCTGTCCCGGTGAGAGAGGGTCTGTCCCGGTGAGAGAGGGTCTGTCCCGGTGAGAGAGGGTCTGTCCCGGTGAGAGAGGGTCTGTCCCGGTGAGGAGGGTCTGTCCCGGTGAGAGAGGGTCTGTCCCGGTGAGAGAGGGTCTGTCCCGGTGAGAGAGGGTCTGTCCCGGTGAGAGAGGGTCTGTCCCGGTGAGAGAGGGTCTGTCCCGGTGAGAGAGGGTCTGTCCCGGTGAGAGAGGGTCTGTCCCGGTGAGAGAGGGTCTGTCCCGGTGAGAGAGGGTCTGTCCCGTGGGGGTCTGTCCCGTGAGAGAGGGTCTGTCCCGGTGAGAGAGGGTCTGTCCCGGTGAGAGAGGGTCTGTCCCGGTGAGAGAGGGTCTGTCCCGGTGAGAGAGGGTCTGTCCCGGTGAGAGAGGGTCTGTCCCGGTGAGAGAGGGTCTGTCCCGGTGAGAGAGGGTCTGTCCCGGTGAGAGAGGGTCTGTCCCGGTGAGAGAGGGTCTGTCCCGGTGAGAGAGGGTCTGTCCCGGTGAGAGAGGGTCTGTCCCGGTGAGAGAGGGTCTGTCCCGGTGAGAGAGGGTCTGTCCCGGTGAGAGAGGGTCTGTCCCGGTGAGAGAGGGTCTGTCCCGGTGAGAGAGGGTCTGTCCCGGTGAGAGAGGGTCTGTCCCGGTGAGAGAGGGTCTGTCCGGTGAGAGAGGGTCTGTCCCGGTGAGAGAGGGTCTGTCCCGGTGAGAGAGGGTCTGTCCCGGTGAAGAGGGGTCTGTCCCGGTGAGAGAGGGTCTGTCCCGGTGAGAGAGGGTCTGTCCCGGTGAGAGAGGGTCTGTCCCGGTGAGAGAGGGTCTGTCCCGGTGAGAGAGGGTCTGTCCCGGTGAGAGAGGGTCTGTCCGGTGAGAGAGGGTCTGTCCCGGTGAGAGAGGGTCTGTCCCGGTGAGAGAGGGTCTGTCCCGGTGAGAGAGGGTCTGTCCCGGTGAGAGAGGGTCTGTCCCGGTGAGAGAGGGTCTGTCCCGGTGAGAGAGGGTCTGTCCCGGTGAGAGAGGGTCTGTCCCGGTGAGAGAGGGTCTGTCCCGGTGAGAGAGGGTCTGTCCCGGTGAGAGAGGGTCTGTCCCGGTGAGAGAGGGTCTGTCCCGGTGAGAGAGAGGTCTGTCCCGGTGAGAGAGGGTCTGTCCCGGTGAGAGAGGGTCTGTCCCGGTGAGAGAGGGTCTGTCCCGGTGAGAGAGGGTCTGTCCCGGTGGAGAGGGTCTGTCCCGGTGAGAGAGGGTCTGTCCCGGTGAGAGAGGGTCTGTCCGGTGAGAGAGGGTCTGTCCGTGAGAGAGGGTCTGTCCCGGTGAGAGAGGGTCTGTCCCGGTGAGAGAGGGTCTGTCCCGGTGAGAGAGGGTCTGTCCCGGTGAGAGAGGGTCTGAGAGAGGGTCTGTCCCGGTGAGAGAGGGTCTGTCCCGGTGAGAGAGGGTCTGTCCCGGTGAGAGAGGGTCTGTCCCGGTGAGAGAGGGTCTGTCCCGGTGAGAGAGGGTCTGTCCCGGTGAGAGAGGGTCTGTCCGGTGAGGGTCTGTCCCGGTGAGAGAGGGTCTGTCCCGGTGAGAGAGGGTCTGTCCCGGTGAGAGAGGGTCTGTCCCGGTGAGAGAGGGTCTGTCCCGGTGAGAGAGGGTCTGTCCCGGTGAGAGAGGGTCTGTCCCGGTGAGGAGGGTCTGTCCCGGTGAGAGAGGGTCTGTCCCGGTGAGAGAGGGTCTGTCCCGGTGAGAGAGGGTCTGTCCCGGTGAGAGAGGGTCTGTCCCGGTGAGAGAGGGTCTGTCCCGGTGAGAGAGGGTCTGTCCCGGTGAGAGAGGGTCTGTCCCGGTGAGAGAGGGTCTGTCCCGGTGAGAGAGGGTCTGTCCCGGTGAGAGAGGGTCTGTCCCGGTGAGAGAGGGTCTGTCCCGGTGAGAGAGGGTCTGTCCCGGTGAGAGAGGGTCTGTCCCGGTGAGAGAGGGTCTGTCCCGGTGAGAGAGGGTCTGTCCCGGTGAGAGAGGGTCTGTCCCGGTGAGAGAGGGTCTGTCCCGGTGAGAGAGGGTCTGTCCCGGTGAGAGAGGGTCTGTCCCGGTGAGAGAGGGTCTGTCCCGGTGAGAGAGGGTCTGTCCCGGTGAGAGAGGGTCTGTCCCGGTGAGAGAGGGTCTGTCCCGGTGAGAGAGGGTCTGTCCCGGTGAGAGAGGGTCTGTCCCGGTGAGAGAGGGTCTGTCCCGGTGAGAGAGGGTCTGTCCCGGTGAGAGAGGGTCTGTCCCGGTGAGAGAGGGTCTGTCCCGGTGAGAGAGGGTCTGTCCCGGTGAGAGAGGGTCTGTCCCGGTGAGAGAGGGTCTGTCCCGGTGAGAGAGGGTCTGTCCCGGTGAGAGAGGGTCTGTCCCGGTGAGAGAGGGTCTGTCCCGGTGAGAGAGGGTCTGTCCCGGTGAGAGAGGGTCTGTCCCGGTGAGAGAGGGTCTGTCCCGGTGAGAGAGGGTCTGTCCCGGTGAGAGAGGGTCTGTCCCGGTGAGAGAGGGTCTGTCCCGGTGAGAGAGAGGGTCTGTCCCGGTGAGAGAGGGTCTGTCCCGGTGAGAGAGGGTCTGTCCCGGTGAGAGAGGGTCTGTCCCGGTGAGAGAGGGTCTGTCCCGGTGAGAGAGGGTCTGTCCCGGTGAGAGAGGGTCTGTCCCGGTGAGAGAGGGTCTGTCCCGGTGAGAGAGGGTCTGTCCCGGT